GATGCCGTAATCGAAGCGACGCCATCTTGTAAGTTTGGAGTAGAGTTGAATATCTAGGTCTAAAGCTCACCAAATACTAGTCGTGGTCGAATCTTGAATGACCGAGAGCGTAAAAACACTGTTGCCAGCTTTTTTTGGAGGAAAATCAGTCGAAAGAGTCCACAGAATATAAATTAAAAGATACTTTGGGAAGAGAGCTCTTAACCGTGCCATTGCGCAATCACATTTATATCTAGTTCTTACATAACCTCTATATTTTGATAATAAACTGTCAACAACTTTTCGAATTGAGCATAAATCCACGTTTTTAAGAGAAAACTGACATGCCAGTCATTCCTGTGTACTTTTTTTCAAACACTTGATTTTGGGGGAGGGTTAGAGTAATGATGTTAAACTGGGATGATCATTTTCTTGTCTTTTCAGGTATCTGTAGGTCGAGTTTATGATTCTGTGTTAGTGGCCGCAGAGGGAATAAAGACAGCCCTCAAAAATGGTGTAACTTTACCACGTACCCAAACTTACCAGGGATTCTGCAGCAGTTCGGACAAGCAGGAGGAAAACACTAGTGGAAAAGACCTAGCAAAATATTTGAACGAGGTAAAAGTGTCAACAATTTGTTCATTAAAAAAAAAAACACCTTTTAAACTTACCAAACTGTGGATGTAGCTGTCCTGGAACAGGGAAAGTGAGAGATTTACTGTGCCAAGCGAACTTTGAACTAAGGAGAGAATAAAAATGTTGCTGGGAAACGATTTATATTATTTGCAACTACAATCCCCTAACCCCAACCCTAACACTAACCCTAAACCCTAACCCTAACCCTAAAAATTGCAACTGAAATCAATCTCTTTCAATTACGATTAGATCATGTTTTTGACACAGATAAAAGCAAATTAATTTTTGCTTATCGGTAATCTTGGGTAAGATCTCAGAATTCAGAACAATGTTTTACTATGTTATTCACAGGTCAGGGTTGAAGGTGTCATGGGTACAATCCATGCCAATGATCCGGATTACGCCGGTTCTGCTTACTTTGATGTGGTAAATCTAAGAAGCACAGGTGAATATAAAGTAAGTCCCGAGATAAATATTTCCTGTATGTCAGTCTTCTTAGGGGGTCTTCTCCTGAATCTGCCTGAGCTTCTGAGGCTCAAGGCAATATATTTTTAATTTTCTTTTGTAAACTTGTTCGTAATCTTCTTTTATTCCATATATCTTACTAGACGTTTTGTCGTGTAGTATCGCTGAGTATTTTTTCTAGTTGTGCCGTATTTTGACGAGCCCGTCGCTCGTCAAAATACAAATAACAAGTCAAAATACTCAGCGATACTACACAACAAATTGTTATTTCAGTGCGGACGAATTTCGCGGATATTTATTCATGGTTCTCTGGAGTACAAATATCGTTTGATATTTGTACTCGATTCGTGCGTTATTTGTACTCTACATTCTGCAGTTGGATAATAATTGTGGTCATTCATTCTTTCCAGGGCCGAGTTCTCCAAAAGGCAATTAACACCACTGAAATTACCTGCTGTAGCAGTGTAAATGCTAAATTATTCAGGATTAGTGTTTACCGATTGGATTACTATTGACGAGAACCTGATTAATTTAAAAACCTGTTGTCGCGTTTAATTTCGTGGACAAGACATGCTGAAAAAACAATGGGTTATAAACTTCACTGTACGGGGTTATTACGAACCAACAAAATTACTAGCTCCCAGTGGGCTTGTTAGCTCAGTTGGTAGAGAGGTCATGGGCTCTAGTCCGGTCCATGCCGATCAACAGCAGGCCTGTAAAAGTGATATAGAATGTTTGTAAATGCAGGCCTGTAATTTTTTTTTTCAAACTTTATTTAGGCTACTGCTTCAGTAGTGTTCATAACTTGGAAGATCACTCTTATCCTCACCTTTAAACCTCATTTTATTGACAGGTCGGGGAGTGGAATACGACTGGGTTACATATGTTCGAAAACGAGAAACCAATCTGGCCTTCAAACAGTTCAGACAAACCATTGGACATCCCTAATATCTTGAAGGGACAGACTCTTAAGATCGCTACCATTTTGGTAAGAACGTCAAATTTCATTTATCTACCAGTTGAATAAGTTAAAAAGCAATGCGATGCTCCCTTAGGAAAACGTTTGCAGTATGCATGAACTGTAACAACGAAAGTAATAATGATCTTTTCAAATCAGAATTATTATTTACAAAGCTAACTCACAGCAGCAGGTTGAAACTAAAAACATAGAAAAAGTTGAGCTAAGATAAACAAATTACAATCAAAAGCTAATACAAACGAAACGAATCGGAAAAATACTCGCATTGGTAACGCCTAATATCTAACTGCAATAGCGAAAAAATTAAATTTTTAAGTTGAAGAAGGCCACCAGACAAAGAACTGCGCTAAGCGCGACTTTAGGTAATCTAACTTCAAAAAGTGATTTTCGTAAAATAAACTGACTTTAAACACAAGAGGACTGTGCAATTCCGTGCGGTATGAAAAACTTGCAAAAATGGTGTAACTTACAGAGGAAAACGTGCACTCGCTCATCAGGAGGTATGAGAAAAGAGCGGACGAATTAAATAAAATCAAAATTACGCATAGAAATATCAGCAAGCTCTTTTGATCTTAAATGAACCTTCTGTCTTTATCCGTTTCCGCACAGCAGACCCCAACTATCCGAACTGAACAGTGCGGATAATTGAGTGTCCGGATAATCCGCCAAGTTTGACGGTATATAGTTA